ATGGTGTGCGTTGCTTCTGGGGGGCTTGAATTACGTGTATGGCAAGTGGCGTTGGAAGGTCGTATATCATATGAATGATGCCGAGCGGAGGCGAATCCTGCCGAAGGGCAACAGTTTTGATTGCGTTCTTTCGTACGTGTTGCTGAAGCCGACCATCTTGCACCAATTCCTTAAGGTGGTCTTGCAGAGCATAGCAGCTGTCCGTATCATGACCGTGATCTTTGTGATATTCACACCGTCTGTCCCGTCTTCTCGTGTCGGTAGGTCCCACCATTTAGGATGGTCATTTAAAAAATGAAAGATGTTGGATTTGGGACATAACCGAGCTGATTGAATCTGACAGCTCCGTATATTTCTTGTCGGCGCGCTTTGGCCACCTATTATCAACTTGCAGTTGCTCATTTGTTTGGTGTGGGCACTGATCGCTTGGTCGGCGAGAATCTCGTTTCTTATCTCGTTTAGTCCACTGGCGTGGTTCATGGCTTTGAGGAGGTACGGAACTTATTGGCTGGGCAATCTCAAGGGGGGCTGTTTTGGTGGTACTGTGTCCGGCTTTAACCCGCAAAGTGTCATCTTTTACTTTGTAATATTCTTCTACTTTCTTCATCAACCCCCAGACTGTTTTGAGGGGTCTTCTGGTCAAGAAACTGAGGAGGGCACTATCTGGGTGTAGTCCCATTTTGAAGGCGGTGATGGCCATGGAGTCATTGCAAGCATCATCTACAAGATTAAAGCATTCCCAATATCGTGCTGAATATGCTCTTAGCGTCTCCCCTGGCAGGATTTGCATTGCCCAGAGAGAGTCGGCTTGTTTCGGCTGGACCTCATTTGTGATGAATCTGGCCTTGAAAGACTTCTGTAATTGGTGGAAGGTTTTGATCGAAGCTGGCTCCAGTTTGTAATACCACCTGATAGCCAGTGGTCCCAAACTGCTGGGGAATATTCGGCACATGAGGGCTTCATCATCTGCATGCAATGTCATGGCTTGCTTGTAGTGGCGAATATGATCAGTGGGGTCTGACTTGCCATCATAGAGAGTAAATGACGGAGCTTTAAACTTTTTGGGTAAGATTGCCCTTGCGATCCGTCGCACAAAAGGATCATGATGGTCCTCGTCATCTGAGCCGTTTCTTCTGCGCTTATGCCTTACGCGTGGGCTCTCTTCAGAGAAGCTGGAAGTTGTAGGTCGTCCTTTCTTTTTGGGCTTTGGAGATAGTGAGTCGGAGTCGCTATCAGTGTCTTGTTGCTGGGCTCGAGGTCGTTGACCACCTGCTTTCAGAGGTCACTCCGGGTCTTGGCGCACGGCTTAGTTGGACTTTGCCACCTCCAATGCCAAATCTTGACGGAGACGCTTATTCTCAGCGATCATGTTCTCCAACCGCTACTCGTTTTGCTTTGCCTGCTCCATGATCGCCTGCATTGCCTCATGTTCTGGAGTCGAAGGTGAACCGAAGTTCAAAGCGCGTCTTACTGGGTTAGGCTCCAATCCGTGCGTGTTTGTTGGAGTGAAGTCATCTATCTATGTGGTCTCATCAGCGACTATTGGAGGGTCCTCCGTCGCGTCCGCAATGGATGTGCTTGAGTATTCCCACAGACAGCGCCAATTGTGGGAAAGTGGTTTTAGGAAATACTCTTCTGATCTTGAAGGACGCTCGTGATCCACCGATAGTCACCTGAAAGGGAGTAAACACTCCGGTCGGGGGTGCCCGAATTAGCCCTCTGACGGACAAGTCAGTCTCTCGTTCTAGATTACTTGTATTCTAAGTTAAACACCACAATTATCTCATACCTTTCTCAGTCTGCTATTCCTTTATTTATACTCGTTCCCTGGGCCTCGGGGCCAGGTCCACTTTTCGCTCATTATGTTCATATTTACTCGGCTCCATAACTCAGTACCTATTCGGCCCATCTACCCTTTATATTCGGCATCCTGATGGTTTTGGATAGAGCCGGGCAATACATGTCTGTTAAAGTATACCTCCTTTAAAATTCGGCTCCCACAGTTATATTTTTTAATTATAGAATACATATGGTACACACCTTTGAGAGGCGTGTAGCATAATTTTTTCCATTAAAAAATTCTTTACAACTCATCAACAAATCCCCTTTAGCAGAGTTTTTTTTGTTTTTTAAAATTTCTAATCCTTGTATTCTAATATATATCTAATCATGAACTATATTTTAAGATTTGTATATGATCTTATATTTAAAAATACATAATAGGAGCACATAGTTGAAGCATGTTGTGGATGTTGATAATATGAATATTAAAATTATTCATCTTTCTAATAATTTAACATTATCTTTGATTAGTATGGTTAATAGTGAATAGATTAGTAATTTATGAGATTGGTTATCCAATTAGATTAGTGAAATAAATAATTCTATTTTGTCTACGTTTATTTTGCAATGGGTATAAAAATCGTCAATGTTGTTGAGTAAAGTATCTACCGAAATTTAGTTTGGATAACAAACCAAATAATAAAATGTGAGTTACATAGATTAATTAATCACAATCCTATCCACTAGGTCAGCCATTGATCTCGATTTGAAATAAGGTTTAACTTTACATAAATTTTGGCAAATTTTCTTCTCTTTATTCATTTATATTATTTTGTGAGAAAAATTGTCATTCGTTACTTTTCTTCCTTTGTTTTTTTTTTTTTTTTTTATTGAGGGTTTTTTTTTTTTTTTTTGATTCATAGTAAAAAGTCACTGTAAAAAAATTAACTCTTCTTTCTACTTTTTTACATGTATTTTTCTAAAAAAAATCAACTAAAATAGAAACTTCATTAAGTGGATCAAAAAGTAAAATAATGTTGTTTAAAATATTTTAAAAATTCATTAAAAACACAAAAATACGGATTGAGAATTTAAAAATTAATTTTGAAATTTTCAAAACCAAACAGACGGATTGGTATTGTTTATATGGTTGTTTATAGTTTTGATTTGATACAATTTCTATTTATAATTTATGAAGTAAAGATAATTTAAACTAATTAATTTTTTAAAAGCCAGTAGATGCTTCTAATTTTTTATTTTCTTAATTAAAAAAAAAACATGTCTATTGTTTTACAATTTTCTTATACTATCTAGTATCTAATAATCTTTTTCAAAAAAAATTCACAAGGGCCTGCTTTGGCAACTTGGTTAAAAATCAATTTTTTAAATTTTTTGAACCACATGATCTCTTTATTTTTTTACATATATTTTATAAAAAATTTAAAAAAATTCAAAATTCAAAAAAACTAACCTACTCTACCATCAAAATGTGAATAGGAGCAAATATCAAGTCCCCATATAGAAATAATTTTAAAAAATTTAAAAACAAATGAGAAGACACTTTTAATTTTTAATTTTTCTTAACAAATATCATGTCTATTGTTTCACAATTTTTCTTAACAATTCCTGTATCTAGTAAACACGTCAAGTCCCATATATTTTTTAAAAAAACAAGACATAACAATATTGTGGCAGTGGGTGAGACTCACTACCACATTATTAGTGTTACTACTAATTAATGGTTTCAACCATTTTCCTTTTAGACGTGCCCGTATGTACATTATAATTAAAAATAATAATAATATAATGATATATTTTTTATGTTATAATAAAATATCACATAAGATATAATTAAAAATTTTATAAATTATAATTAAAATCTTATTATAATTAAAAAATAATATATAATTAAAAAAATAACATAATTAAAAAAATTTATAAATCATAATTAAAATATTATTATAATTAAAAAAATAACATATAATTAAAAAAATAACATAACTAAAGATACGATCATGCTACGTAGCTCGAAAACGGGGAGCCCGAATGGCTCAATTTTTTTATTTTTTGCAGAAGAACAACGAAGACCAGGAAGAAAAAGGAAGAAATGAGGAGGAAGGAGGGAGAGGAGGGAGGATGAGGAGGAGGACTGGAGGGGGCATAATATTCGGGAGAGGAGGAGGCGGAGGCGGGGGGCGGGGGGCAGAGGCGACGAGTTGACGATCGGCGGAGGCGACGAGCTGCTGTTGCGACGATCGGCGGTGGCGGAGGCACACGCGACGATTGGCGGCGAGTTTTCTCCCTCTCTCCTCCTCTTCCCCTCTCTTCTCTTTCTCCCTCTCCCTCTGCTTCTCTCTCCCTCTCTCTACGTCTTCTCTCTCGAGCCATTCGAGACAAAATGTTTCGAGTTACGAAACATTTCCTCTAAAGATATATCTGATATATTTTTTTCAAAACAGGTTTATAATAGAATTTCTCATAAAAAATCAAGCCCTACGCATTATAATCAACTACCCCATTATAGAGATGGTACGCAATCAATGACCCATCATTTCTACCCAAAAAAACACAAAAAGATGGTGCCCATAAAGATTGTTCAGGTCTGGCAATGACCCATCAGGATATTATTGAAAACTGACCTTTCATTCAGAATAATAATAGCCTTATAAATTTATCAAATTATCTCATATTAATATTTTAATACGAAAGAAATTAAAATATTTTTTTTTTTTTTAAATCACTCATGGCGGCAAGTGAAGGCGTTCGCAAGAAGTTGAACATCTTGACTGGCGACTCTATTTTGACATTGGTGGTGGTATAGTAGAGGGATGATAATGTTATGATTGTGACAGTGATCGATTGTGATAGTGTGATAGTGGTTGTGGTGATAATAGGATGGTGGTGGTGGACAGTGACAATAATAATAAAGTAATAGGAGAACTGAATAATAGTACTAATTAAATAATAATAATATTTTTTTTAAGTGTCAATAAAAAAATAATAATTTTTTTATGATAATTTCTTAATAAAGATCATTTCAAAAATATGGAGGTGATCCCTAAAAGTACCAAACATTTTCCAATCACTTATTGCGGAACTTGCCATCAATAACTATTGTTACAACCAACACTAGTTTTATTATAAATTTGGGAGGTTGGCTAGGCATTATGCATTTATCATAGTTATCACATTCCAATCTCAACTACCTACCCAACAGCATGAGCCCTTACACCCTTGCCATTCTCTCCCTCCTCTTTGGAGCCATCTGGTGGTCATTCTTCCATCACCTCGGCCGTCGAAAAAATAGTCGGAAAATTTTACCACCTGGTCCACGGGTCTTACCAATCATCGGGAATCTCCACATGATAGGTACTCTCCCTCACCGTGCCCTCCAAGCCCTATCCAAAAAATACGGCCCAATTATGTTAGTCCAACTCGGCAACATCCCAACCATTGTAGTCTCATCCCCACGCGCCGCTGAGCTCTTCCTAAAAACCCATGACACGGTCTTCGCTAGCCGCCCGAATATTGAAGCAGCCAAGTATATGTCCTATGAAAATAAAGGTATGGCTTTTGCAACTTACGGATCGTATTGGCGTAATGTTAAGAAATTGTGTACTTTAGAATTATTGAGTGTGAGGAAAATTGATGGGTATGAAGCAATGAGGAGGGAGGAGATGGAGGTATTAGTGCAGTTGCTGAAGGCGGCGGCGCCACGTGAGGTGGTGGATTTGAGTGAGATGGTGGCAGGGGTGATGGAGGACATGACATGTAAGATGGTGTTTGGGAGGAGTAATGATGAGAGGTTTGATTTGAAGACTGTTGTTCAGAAGGCTCTGGTATTAGTAGGAGCTTTCAATATTGCAGACTTTGTCCCTATCTTGGCTCCATTTGACCTTCAGGTTTGTTCACTTTTCTATGCTATGATAAGTCTAACATGATGTTGGTTTGTCAAAAGTGAAGATAAGATTAAAGAACGAAAATATGAGGCAAAAAAAATTAGCATATTTTGAATATTAGTTAATTAGTGGTATAGTCTGTGGTATTAGTTTAGATATTTAAGATAAATTATATTTATTTGTGTATTAATTTAAATAAGTTTATTTTTTTTGGTTAAAATATGAGGTAAAAAAATTAGTATAATTTGAATATCTTTTAATTTTTTACAAAAAAATGTATAAAAAATAAAAAAAGACAGAATTTTTTTTGATTTTTTTAAATAGTTCTTTGATTTTTTTAATTTTTTTTGACTTTGTTAGTAATTGTAGAAGGTTTCCAAACCAACCCTTAAGAGCTCGTTTGGGATATAGGTTGGTTTTTTAATTTTTTGACTATTTAATCTGGAATTAAAAAGTCTCGTTCGGAATAGACTTTTTAATTTTTTTGATTTTTATAAAAAAAAATGAAATAATTACGAATTAAATGTGACATTTTATTTTATTTAGTTAAAATAACAAATTTTATTTTAATCCAAAATGTTATTTCAAACGAGCTTTAAGTGCCCGTTTTGCAACTTTAACTTTTTAGTTATATTTTGAGTTTTTGATTTTTTAATGAAGTGACAAAAAAAAAAAAAAATTTAGTGAGTTTGAAATTTTTTTTTTATTGAATAGAAAGTTAAGAGGAAAAAAGTCTTTGATTAGTACGTATAAAAAAAAAATTCCTGTGACTTTTACTTTGATATTTTTTTAGCCAAAAAAACCTACAAATCAACCTAGGCATAATTTTATGAAATTAACTAAACTCGCGTTACATAAAATACGAAATTATTATTTTTATTATCTATTGAAAAAATTAAATTTATTTGATAATTGTAACTTTTTATTTTATCTCGTTTGTCTCTAAAAAAATAGACAATAACTATATTTTTAAAAATAAACTTCATTATTTTAGAACAGGCATGATAAAATTAATCTAATTTTTTTCGTGGATGATAAATACGGAGGGCTTCGAATTTGGACATGTGGTGCGCCCTAAGCCCATCCTTTTCTCTAGATTTGGATTGAAGGATTTTGTTCGTACCTGTTACAGGATTCATTTTGATAATTTAAATCGTTTATTTTATAATATATATCATTAAAAATAATAATAAATTGATTTGATAATTAATTTATTACATTTATAAAAAAAAATTGACAACAATACGGAGACCTTGTTTGCGAATTTAGAAATTAATTATTTAATTTTTCATATAAAAATATATTAAAAAAATAAGGAGAGTAATGTGAACAAAAAGCGAGCATGCCACACATGTGAACTCTATTTTTGTAAACAAGGAAAAGATGTCATAAACGTATGGGCCACTAGACCCGCTATTTGAGTTATAATTTTTTGATTTTTTGTCTATTTTAATTTGGGATTAAAATAGTTTCGTTTGAGATGGAGTTTTTAGTTTTTTTAATTTTTGTGAGAGCAAAAATATAATGATTATGGTTTATATGTAATAACTTTTAACATGACACTAAAATTTTTATTTTATTTTTTTGTAATTAAAATAGTCCCATCCTATGTCAAACCCACATGCGAAAAGAGTGCTCCGTTACTTCTAGAGTGTTCATATTTCTTTATCAATTATTATTTAACATGTTCTTTTATATTTCACAATCAATTAACATAAAATTACAATATTTTACACTTTTCATTAATCATAATATTATAAAACGCTACGTGGCCGTACCCTAGTAATATCCACAATTGTCCTGCAACACAAGTGAAAAATAAAAAATTTGAAATATACAATACATTTGTTAGATTTTTTTTTTTTTTTTAGTGAATTTTTTTGGGTTCTACTTGTCTAGATAGATTGAGGATTTTTTTTTTTTTAGATTTTAGATTTGTTTAAACAAGATATATCAAAAAACTAAAATGTTTTGATATAATTTAAAAAAAGATTTTTAAAGATACATTTCGTTTAAAGAAAAATATGACTTTTTTATTTGTATAAAAAATAAAGGCTCCCTAAATTCCAACTCCTTTGTATAAAAAATAAAGGCTCCCTAAATTCCAACTCCACTTATAAAAAGATGAATGTCATATATCACGGAAATATTTCATCAAAACTTCTCACCTCTTATGCAGTCTTTCCAAATGTCATAATCTCATAAAAAAACTTTAAAGTGTTTTTAAAATTTTTAATTTTATCATATAATCAGCACGGATAAGGAAAAAAAAAAAAAAAAAAACAGTTTTTGTATTTTTTAAATCAATCAGAAGGGACCCAGCACCCACTGGGGTCTTATGCATTTTCCTTATGTACTATATAATAGTGTCATATCTATGTGTAGGACCTGTAATATTTGAAAAAAAAAGAGGACTAGGCATGCCCCATAAAAAGCCAAGTAGGATGTGACACTATAAAAAAAAATTAAGATCTTAAAAATTAAAATTTAGAGATAAAATTATTTGTTAGAGACTAAAAAATTTTATAGCGAAAAGTGTCATTATTATTTTTTTAGCAACAAAAATTAGATATTGTAATGAATTATTATCATTTTGGGATCAAATTGTCTCAAAAATTTTTTTTTTAAACCAAATTATTTTGTCCCTAAAAGTCTATTTATTAATGACATTTTCAATATTTTGTCGCTAAAAACCTTATTTTTTACTTTTTAGAACGACTTTTTAACAACTATCCTCATGATGATAGAAATTGATTCCTAAATGTCTTTTGCAACAAAATTTCACTTTTAGAGACCAAAATATTGTTATGGAAAATATGTGATTTCCCATAAGTAAATCAATCAATGAGAATAAAAACTAATATGGAAAAATTAAATCAAAGGCAACACAAGAATTTTTACGTGGTTCCCTCAATGTAAGGTACGTCCACGGGATCGAAATCCGATTCCACTATCAACCAAATAAGTTCAAAACGATTACAAACGAGACACTAATGGTCTCACAAAACCACCCTTAGGTGAATTCCAAATAATCACAAATAAACAAGAGAAAAGACCTCACCAAATAAATGAACAAAATCTTCAGAACCAAAATTGTAGAAGACCCAAAATAACAACCCAAATCAACTTCACCAAAGTACCCAAACAAGATGCACCAAATTAATTTGTTTCTGCTCCACAAATCAATCGACCCAAAGCACTATCTCACCAAGAAAAAGTATATGCTGCTGCCGTACTTGTCTCTTGGAAAAAACAATACACCAAAAATTATATTGTGAATCTAGGGTTTTTTTATCAAGACTTTAGTTGTTTCTAAATTGGATTGGGTCTCCACAAATTAAATATAATATATAAAAATATATTATAATTAATACTAAACTAAATTAAACTCTTTTTCCAAACTATTGGGTCACACACTCCAATAAAGAGGTATACCTAACAAATATTTGATTTCTAAAACTCTTATATGTTTTAGTGTGAAAATTTGGCTTGTCATTGCCAAGAGCCAAACACTTGCTTGCAATTCCAACTTATCGCTTATAGAAATGTGCTCTCATGTGAACTTTAAATATGTGTGCAAGTATTATTTATTTATTTATTGCTTTTATATACAATTTTATTAGTTGTTGTGTCTTATTTCTTTATATTTGTTTAGATTATATATAAGGGTTGCGCTTCTCTTTATTTTAGAGAGAAGCAACTATATGGTTGAATTTACTTCATAAAAATTTATAATGTGTGTTATTTTGATAATTCAAATCGTTCATTTTGTTCTTATTTTCTCTTGATTTTTTTTGTAATTAGATACTTGCTTCTACTTATATTTACATCTTCTTAAGTAGGAGGTGGCACCTCCTTAAGTAAGATTTGTGCATATTTGGATGTTCTAATTACACCACTAATCTAAATAATATAGATTAACACTAATTAAATTAGATTAAAAAACAAATAAATAAATCTATCATATAGTTTTTATCATAATAAAGAAAAAAGTGAAGCTGTAGATTTTAAATCTTTCCCATTATTTCAGTATCCAAACTACAGAGAGAAAATCAATAGATTTCTATTGCTTGGATATTTGAAATCTATTGATTACAAATCCATTCTCAAACAAATCTAAATTAAAGTGGTGAAGGATGATTTTAGTGAAGAGGTATAAATTTTTTCTATTAAAACAAATAAATTTAAAGAGAATTACTATTTGCAGACTGGAATCAAAACTAAATAAATATGAATTAACATTATATTTAAAATTTGCCTCAAGGGCAAATTACATAGGCTAAAAAATGTATTTTCCCCCACTCCGTCAAGGCAAGTTCAACTTCACAGAAACTACGCAATTCAAGTGAGCTGTAAACCTATTGCACTGCGTACAATCGTAAACCCAGTAGTTCGGGTCTCTTCCTTTCTCACAGGCATCGCATATGACCTCTTTTAAGCCATCTTGGACTTGAAGAGGACGAGCAAGGGTGAAAGCGTGTCTATGAGGTTGGTATTTTAGGCTAAGAGGTAGCAAAGCACAAGTAACATGTATAATTAACATCCATTGTCAATGTTTGAGTGGAAATGGCAACTATACGTCTCTGGAAAAGAATATTCGAGTGAGGATGGGTCGAGGAAAGGTAGACAATCAAAAGGTTCAAGTTCCTCCTTACGGGGTTTCTTGGCACAAGATTTGTGGAGGATTAGATCACATCAGGTACATTTGTAGTAAGTTCGACATGGATGACCCAAGATGACTTTCTGGCATTTTCTACAAGTAACATTGTTGTCATTGTCGTCCTCATCCTTGATCTCTTCACTTAAACGATGCAAGTGTATAGATTGCTCGTCTTTCTTCTGCTCACATTTTTTATTCATGACTGGAAATTTAGATTCTTCCTCTCCTTCAAGGGTTCTAAAACCGCTATTTATCCACTGATTGAATTCGATGTGGTGTCTTTTTGGCAGATAGAAAGATGAGACACGGCATGACTCACACACTTATTAACCTGGGTAGTGGTTTCCACTGTGAGCTTGCGGATGTCGCCAATGTCATAATC